GGCTGGCACGGCGGGGCGGGATGGGGGTGCGGGCCGTGCGGGCGGCGCTGACGGCTCACGGTGTCCGCAGGCCCGAGCACCGCCGGGAGACGGCGCGGTTCTGGCGGGAGCACCGCGCGGAGGCGGCGCTGCGGGAGCGGTGCCTGGTGCCCGCCGAGGAGTACGAGCGGTTCGCGCGGGCTCTGGAGCAGGCGCTGGCCGAGCACCAGCGGCGGGAGGAGGAGCGCATCCTGCAGGTACCCGCGGCCGCCTCCCCGCTCCGGCACCGCCACCGGTACCGGTACCGGCGGGCCCGCCTCACGCTCTGTCCCGCAGATGGCGGCCGACATCCGGGAGGCCGAGCGCCGGCAGCGGGAGACCGTGCAAGCCGCGCTGCAGGTCGGTGAGCCGTATCCTGCCCTGCGGGGAGCGGGCACCCGGGAGGGGCCGGGGCGGCTGGGTGGGGCTGTGCTCAGCGCCAGAAATACTGCTCCTGTTTCCTGAATTACACCCAGCTTCAGCCCGAGCCAGAGCTTTGTGCAGGACCTTCTGTCTGCAGGCTCCCCGCAGGACCTGAACGGTGAGCACCACTTTCTTTGGCAGTGGCTGATGCATACATGCTCAAAGCAACACTGTCATTACCAGGGTCTTGCGAAGCTTCTGAAAACTTCTGCATGCACTACAGTAAATGCTGGCCTCTTTATTTCAGGGACAGCCCTTGTGCAGAACAGCCTGGCCCGAGCGGAATGCAGACAGGACCTGATTTAGCCTGGATGGAATCAGGAAGGGTTCTCACCTTCATTGGCCACCAGGTAGGGGCGACTGGCTAGCAAATGTGACTTCAGTTTCACTGCAGGTCACCTACAGCACACGTCACAAAGCACAACAAGGGGTGGTCTCCATCACAAAAAGAAACACTTTGTGGATTTGGGCGAGCAGCTAGCCCAGTTTCAGTTTAACTTTCATTATGCAAACATTCTTTAATATGCCATGGGGAAAAAAAAACCCAAACTCTTCTAAAGAACAGAAGAGCTTTCCTCTGCCTTTTTCTAATAGAAGTTGATTCTGGAAGGGAATGAAGACAATGCTCTTCTGCTCAGAGATACTCCTAGACATAAGATTCTCATAAGTATTTTATGTTCCTGTTAACAGGAAACAGAAGGGAAAGGAAATGTCCACACAGGTAAGTGTACCTGCATCATGACTCACCAGGCTGCTGCCTCATGGCTTGCAAATGTCACAGGGAAAACTAAAAGCAGTTTTGAAGCAGTTGCAGCATAACCAGGAGGTGGCCACTCTTGGCAATATCTGACATACTAGAGAAGAAAACACCAGCATAGTAAAAACTGTTGATGCTGCTGCTGTGGGGAGTGCATGATCTGGGGTGTTACCTGCCATGGCCAGCTCCTTTTCCTCAGAACACCCAGAGTTCACTTGGCAGCATGAGCAGCAGACAGGGGGAGGAGGGGGCACTTTTATTCTGTCACAGTTTAGGGTAACTGCAGTGGCTAAGTATTCCCTGTGACTTCTAGGAGCAAAACCTCCATGGCTAACAGAGGAAGAAGATGGAAGTAAAGAAATTGGACCTTCCTATGAGGAATTTCTCAAACACAGTGAGCAGCTTGCACATCTTTTATTTAACTTTACAGTCACTTGAACATGCTAGAGAACCAAAAGCAATTTGAAAAACTTTTGCTGAAAAAATATTTGGGCTTTTCAGCATCCTGGTCTAAGGGAAAGTATCCCCATCCGTGTACAGGGGGTTGCAGCAAAGGGATCCTTAAGCTCCCTTCCAACCCAAACCACTCCACAATTCTGTTTTTATTTTCAGAGGAGAAGCAGAAGCTGAAAAAGCTGCCAGTGGAACGTGTTGGTGCCAACTTTGACCACGCCTCTCAGACCAGTGACAGCTGGCTCCCTTCCTTTGGGCGCGTTTGGAACCACGGCAGGAGGTGGCAGTCCCGGTGAGCTGCAGATGGATCTGAGGGGACAGTGGGGCTCTGTCCATGCAAGCCATTCATGGAGCAGGCTCTGAGGCAGCAGCAAGCATAACTAGACATGCTGCCATACAGTTACACCACACAGTGCTCAATGCAGGCAGGGTATTGTTCTTGTCCTGGGGCAGCACCAGGAAGCATGCTCGTGGCTGTAAAGGCTGCACACGTGAAGGCATCTGCCTTGTTTTGCTTGGCTCACCTTTCAGACCCACATACTGTCCCACTGGCACCTTTTACTGTGCCAGAACTGTGTCAGCTAGCTGGAGCTACCCCTCACTGAGGTAACAAAAATACCGAGGGAGCTCCCGTGTTGGAACACTGTGCACAGCACTGTGTCTTCTTCAAGGAGTGTTCACTGTCTAAAGGCTACTGCAGTCTGACTGCTATGCTCTCTTTCAGGCATCAGTTTAGAACTGAATCAGGGGAAAAGAAGAAAAAAAGATGATCAGATGAGGAACGCCAGACACCCACTCTGCTCTGGAAAGGCTGACTGTAGCTAGCTGCAGTTTTGTTGCCTTAAGAGCGTTCATCTGAGCATCACCTCTAAAGCCACACAAAGTCAGGTCCTGCCAGCAAGGACAGGCTCCTGTGGATGCCACATCTTCCCCGTCAGAAAGCCTACTCTGTACAGCAAGCAATGCCAGTGGCCTGTGCTGACATGGCACATCCCACTGAAGCAAGAATTTTTGGAGAAATAAACTTTTTTTTTTTTAAATGCCTCTGTTTTTAAACCAACTGCAACTCATTTCAAATGCAGGGCCCATCCTGCAGGCAACTAATGCCAGATGTTTGATAATTTAATTCAAACTTATATTGCTTTCCTTCATTTTAACATTTATCCTTTATATTGTCTAACATCACTGGCTGCTGTAGGTGATGCAGAAGTTTCAACTTCCCTTTCAGCAACACGTTTGTAACACTAATAAAGACAAAGACTGGCTGGTACAGTACAACAGCCACAACCTCCACCAGAATCCATAATAAATAATGCATCAGTAATGAAACATACACACTGTTGAAAAATCAAGAAAAATTATAATCAATAATTTTATTGTGTGCATCTACATATGACACATTGTTGACGAAGTCACTGAAGAACCTGCAAAGCAAGAAGTCCCCAGTCAGAAAACCAAGTAAAAGCAGGCTAGCACAAAGCAAACAGTTTGGCAGTTTTATCCCAGCAGGAACACTCGGCCATGGTGCCATGTGGGAGAAGGGAGGACAAGTGCCCCTGCAGCCCACAGAGAGGGGAACAAATGATGCTTTCCCCATCCAGTGAGCACAGGGACAAAACCAGAAATGGCTCTTTAATTCTGGAGAGCTGATGTTCCCAGTAATGTTCCCCCAGGAAGTTGCTTGGGATGTGAGCAGAACACTCTCGAGTGTCTGGAAGAACAGCCCACCACAGCCCTGAGGAGCTGCCCATTAGCTCCAGACAGCAGAGCTCAGCTCCTGAGCACCCAGCCTCACCTCCCTAGGCGTCCTCCCCTGCTGCAGGCGCATCTCCACCTTTCGTGTTCCGGGTGTAAATCACCTGGGCTCGGTGCTTGGACACCAGTTTGATCAACCCTATGAAAAAACAAAATTACATCAGTGGGCATGTACTGATGGATGCCAAGGATGCTGGGGTCCCTCCTCCATACTTTGGAGCACTTCTTAAATGCAAGTTAAGGCAGTGGCTCTCCAAAAACAATTTACTCATGGGGCAGTTCAGATGCTGCAGGGAAGCTGCTGGGCAAGCAAGGAAAACCAAGCAGCCAATTCAAGCAGCTTTCTGGTTTTTTTTCTGAGTGCTCACCTTTGCTGAGGAGCTCCTGGAGGGCAGCCCGAGCCAGGGAGCCTCGAATCTTCAGCCTTTCTGAGACAACTGCAGGTGTGATGAGCTTGTAGTTGGGCACTTCTTTGCACAGTTTGTCGTAAGTGGCCTTGTCAAACAGGACAAGGTTGTTCAACTTGTCCCTCACTTTTCCTTTGGACCACTTCTACTTGCAAAGAGAGAAAAAACAACACCCCTCTAAGCCACCTTGTAAGCAAGAACAAAAGATGCAACTAAACGATGCCCCACGAACTGCACCATCAAACGTTTCCGTATCACATCCCAAACTAAAGGCCTCGTGAGATGCACAAAATCGCCTCTGTAAATGAACGTGCCGCGGATAATACCTGCAGTATCTAAAAATAAGAGGACTAAAGGACCCTGCTACTCAGGTTTAACACTGTAGTGCACAAGTGGCTGGCAGATTAAGAGCTCTTTTAACAAGAGCCCGCCCGGCTCCCGCCCCGCTGCCGGGCCCGGCCACGCCGCCGCGGCGCCAGGCCCGGGCCCGCCCGAGCCCCCGGCCCGCCGGCTCCCACCTTCTTCTTGGCTTTGCCGCCGGACTTGTTGACCGGGTCCTTGTCCTTCTTGGCGGACTTGCCCGCATCCTTCTTCTTCTTGTCGTCTTTGGGCGGCTGCGAGAGGGCAAGAAGGATGGGGGGTGAGCGGCGAGACCCGGCCGCGGCGCCCCGGGCGCCTCGCAGCGCTTCCCGCCGCGCTCCGGGAGCCGCCAGCGCCTCTCGGGCGGCCCGG